GTTATAGCTAATATTGGGGGGGGGTAGCACCCCCCTGCAGCCCCCACAAAATCCGTCTATGGCTAAAAGCCTGGATCTTTGTTATCACATAATTTAAATTAATGTTGAGAACCACTGCCTCAAATGCTTTAAAATTGATAAAATTACATATCATACTCCAATCCATTGTTAAATATTTATATTTTGCACCAGGTGACCAGAAACACATATAATTATATACAATAGTCAATACACAGTTAATTTTTAAATATTATACCGTATTGCTATTTAATTTTGTAGACAATGTACCATTTTAATTTGTATAATATATGCTTATTTAATACATGATGTTTGTGATGTTACTCTGAGTGTATATCCACACCGGGCAAGCTTGAAAAATATGCCTGACCACAGTGGGAATCAAACCTACGAATAATATGCCTGCTTGTATAACATATAATATATAATTTGTATAATATATGCTTATTATATAAATATTATAATATATGCTTATTATGTATAATATATACTTGTATAATGTATAATTTGTATAATATATGCTTATTTAATACATGATGCTTGTGATGTTACTCTGAGTGTATATATCCACACCGGGCAAGCTTGAAAAATATGCCTGACCACGGTGCGAATCGAACCTATGAACCTAATTTGGATACATTACACCAACACAGAAAAATTCATGATTATTATTAGATAACATTGATATCGAAGGAACTAGATTCTGTTTCGAAATATCACATACTCGAACCGACCAGACCGCATAGCTCAGTTGGCAGAGCATTGGGCTAGTATTCCAAAGGTCGTAGGTTCGATTCCCACCGTGGTCAGGCATATTTTTCAAGCTTGCCCGGTGTGGATATACACTCAGAGTAACATCACAAGCATCATATTCACCTGAGTACATTACACCAACACAGAAAAATTCATGATTATTTAATACATGTCTGCAAATGCTGCAATTCAAATTCCATCTTTTGTAAACATACGTGCAGTGCTTCTCTGTTGTCGTTTGTTATATATGGTTTTAAAAATACACAAAATACTAATAAGACTTGCTTGCTCAAACAGTAGGCTCAAAGCAATTGAAAGCTGAGGCAACAGTTTTCAACTTTAGTTTATAATGACATAATATATCATAAGACCTATATTTATTGACCAATGAGTGGTCGCCGCAATTCCTGTCACTAGCTGCAAGTATAAATACTTGAATAAAATTTTAATATAAGCAACCGAAAAAATTGATAGGGTACAGTATTTTGATAGGGTACACCCGGAACAGTACAGTATGTATCCAATATGAATACTTGGACATGCTAAAATGTAAAATAATATCCCATATTAATCAAGTGAACATACCTGTTTTACAACATGGAAGTTTGTCATCACTGCAAAATTTGAAAACGTGCCATCCTTCATGAGTTGTTGTGGGCATTTTACTAGACATCCTGTTCCATTCCTAAAGGATATGCTTGAGCCATTCGTTTTCTTGACTTTAATTTTCACAGTGGCATCCGCGGCATCTTTTAAAAGTTTTAACTTGTAATACCCTCCACCTTCTACCAACGTTTTGAGAATAATAACATCATCTTCTGTAAGTGCATTTGGTTTATATTGTTTGAGAATATCATCTGTATTATCTGGACTTAACTCCAAAAGACTTGCCAAAGGTATCATCCGTTCATGGTGCTGTTTGTTAAAACTAAGTTTTTCACAGGTGTCCTTAAGGTTGTCCCCAGCTTCTTCAACTGCCGTTTCTTCCCATTCAATCACTTTTGCCATATTTCTCGAGGGGTAAATTACTCTGAAGATCTTCGTTAAAATACCCCAAAATAATACCAAAAGATGCCGCAAAATCTTTAAAGGTATCAGAAAATACTTGGAAAACTTCAACATCACTGCAAAATCGATAAATCCATCAAGTTCAAAACATATGGTTCAAAACAGCTGGGATTCTGGGAAATTTGTTGCGCATGCGCCAGATTATTACCCATGATGTTTTGCGGCCGGCTTGTTGCCTGTTTAATCTTTATACTTTTTTGCTTGAGACAAAGTAAAATGTACTCTACGTTTCCAGTGTATAGAATATCTCGTTTGAACAGCAATAGAATATTACAATCTTGACACAAACAAGAGACATTTTACACGCTAAACCTGACTCTTCCACAGTCCCTCATTCGTACGCGCGGTCGCGTTAATTTTGCAGTCATGCCATCCCACTGAACTATATAACATGGAAGTCTGACTCGAGCTCAAAAAGTGAAGCCAACATGGCGGCAATCTCGTACCCAGAGCAATGCCTGTGCGCGGGCTAGGAAAGCATTGGCTCTGGGGAAATTGACAACCGGAACCCCTAAATTTAGGGGTTCCGGTTCTTTGTCGGCATGCACGATTGAAAAACGTTAAACCAATCACAGCACAGGAAAAATTCAATTTCCCCAGAGCCAATGCCATCCTAGCCCGCGCACAGGCATTGCTCTGGGTACGAGATTGAC